TCTAATACAATAAGAGAACTTCAAAATCCTTCTTTTACTCTGTGAGATTTTTAACTTTCTATTTTTTGATTCTAATACAATAGAAATAAATACAAATGTATTTTTTTAATGCTTGAAAAAAAATCAAAGACAAATGCAGTTTCAATGTTTTCCAAAATATACAGGTTAAAAAAAACAAGGGCTATTAAAGACATTCAAGTTGTTGTATAACTCTTCAATAATAATTCTTTCAACATAAAATACTTGAAAAAATAGAAGCTTTTGTTGACGAGAAATACGATATTACTGAGATAGTCAAGATCTATATATCAGAATCACTTAACTCTACTGCATCAGACGAAATTCATGGAAACTCCGGAGTTCTGAATTCAACTGTTTTCTGTTTGAGTTTTATTCAAATTTTACTTATTTTCTTTTGCATACGCTCTAAATCTTGTTACACTCTAAGATGAATAAATGTCATGTAAGGATTTAAAGCATGAGCACTTATTAAGATTTATTAAATTTATTTTGAACCTGTGAATTTCTTTTTGGTGGCAGATAGCACTGTCTAATTGTATCAAAGAGGAGTCATAGTCTGGGAGAGCCAACTGATATTATTCCAATTGGCTGATTATCAAAAGGTTACAATTTTTTCTGATAATGAAATTTTTTGTACTTTAAGTTCAGAAGAATAATAATGTTCAGGTCAAATCACTTCTCTTACTGTCAATTTAACCAATTCAAAATATGAGTTATTTAAAGAAATTTTGAACCAAGATCTTCGATTTTTAATATATTCACTTTTGTTGTAGGTACATGATGAAAGCTATTCTCATTCATTTTTCTATTTAATCATCAGATTTTTAAACAAATAAGTTTCCAAAATCTAGCTGAAATGGATGGAACATATTATAATCATACTAGATACATCTTTTTATTTATGTTTGGTGTTCATGAAGTAGAACTAATCGGCTATTAAAGCCTGGAAATTATTAATGCTTTCAGTTTTGTTTCAATTGAAACAATTGACTGTTCAAATTAATATCTCAGTAGATTTATTTTAAATCAACATGAAGGTTTTCAATCTAATGACAATAACAACAACATTTTTTGCACTCAGTGCTAAAACACAATGTAATGCATCAATGCCCGTAATTTTTAAGTATCTTATAATGTACGACTGATCTTGCAGGCATAAAATCTATCTTTTTTCAGTTCAGCATCACTAAAATTTTAAAAGAAACTGAATCTACTAGAATCCGAATGTAATTTATCTATTTCATCCAACTAGATTGCAAAAACTCATTTTCTTAAAAATTTAATAAATGTAAACGAGAATAGTTCTCATCATGTTCTTTTAGGAGGATGAGAATAATAATTTAATTCAAACATGAAGAATCTTGTTAGTTGAGAGTACGAAAATTTTCATTGTTAGATATATTTTTCATTTGAAGAGAAAATATCGATTGTTTATAAACTATTTTAAAGATTAAATTGGCATATAGAAAGAGTTTCAATTTTAATTATAATTAAAAAAATGAATTTTTACCTTTGTATATCGTTTTGTCCATTTATCATCAATAATATCTTCTCTATTAATATTCGATATATCGTGTTGAAGTATATAAATTGCAATAATTTGTTTTAAATCATGAACATGTGATACAATATTAGTAGCATATTGACTTGAAACAATAAAGAATAAATGATCATTTTTATTATTATTTAAAATAAATTGTTCACACTGTTCAAAATCATTAAAACAACAAATATAATCAATTGCAGATCGAAATTTTTTATCATTATCATCAAAATCATCATCAAGACAAATAAGTGTAAATGGTTCAAAATTTTCAAATCTTTTTTGTTTTTGTTTAATCGATTTTTGTGTTGTTTCTTGAGAAATAATTTGAGATAATTTACCTGATTTATCAGTTGTATTATCGTTTATTATTTCACATTCGTGTTTTTTATTATTAGTTGAAGATAAAATTGTAGAACTTGAACCAGAACCCATCGTTTTTTATCAAAATTTAATTGCTAAACCTTAAAACTTCGTCGTTATACAACGCTTAACAGCAAAATGACTCACATCTATTTCTTTTCTTTTTTTTTTTTTCTTGCTTCGCAGTTTTCTTTTCTTCTCGACAGAACAATGACATGAATGAGTTCTTTTTTAATATTTTTTTTTTAACGTTCCTTTCTTGACGATGACAATCTCCATAACCATATTAAAACATTTTTTCTGCCATAACATAATTGAATAAATCACCTTGGCAAAGAAAATTCTGTTTGAAAAAGTTTGATAAGATAATATGATACTAATTGTTTATATAACCTTGTGTTCTTAAAAAGAATACATATAGAGGAAAATATGAAGCAAAAAATGATAAATTTTAAATTTTAAAAATCTATAAGATAGTACATTCAACATAATTAAATGAATACTTATTTCATCTGTTCTCAATTCATTTGTTCCGCTTATTTAGATTTGAATTATAAGTATTTACGCTAGTAATATTGCTCAATAATTTGAATTTATGATGATTTTATTATGATAAGCAAAATTTATCTGTCTTGAAAATTTTAGCATTTTACTTTGAATTTTTTTCCATAAATCCAGCAAAGTTATTTTTCTTTAAATTACATATTTATCTAAAGATGTAGACACGATAAATTACTTATTTAGTTTCCTTTTTTCTTTGATGATGTAATCATATGTGTTTAAAAAGTTTTATGAAATAAAAAAACAAAGATCCACATGACTTGTTTTCAACAGCATTCAAGTTAATCAATTACAGTATATGACAATATCTCCATCGTTCTCAAATTTATGTTCACTAATAAAATATGAGATTTTATTTTTGGTCATGAAATGTTCAATTGATTTAAAAACAAAAAATTACTTCCTAATCGGAATGAAAATTTTCATTGATATATTACAAATATTCGATCAAATCAACTTAATATAATTTTAAAAATTAGGCTTTCACATAAATACATGATACTTTTGTACCTTAATTAAATAAATACTATTGAAAACGGTAAGATTTCTATTTAAGTAAGTTGTGTTACATAAGTTTTCATTAGAATGTCATCATAAATAAAAAACCAAACGATTTAAAATTCTGTTAGAAAAATTAATGTCGAATATATATTAAGCTCTCGTCATGAGAAAAAGAGATTGACGAAATTTTTTTGTTGGTTCTTTTTTTAAACAAAAAACATCAATGTTTTTGTTCGAAGAGTAATTTAATCAATCTTCTTTCATATTGTTTCAATGCACTAATAATGTTTATACAAAAAAAAATTAATAAGAAGAAAAAAGAAAAAAAAATATTAATTTCAACGAAATTACATATGATTAGTCATCTAATTTGAAGGGTTTGTTTCAAGTGACGTCTATATATTTAATCAGGATTAAATTACAACATATTCACAGACATGTAAATCATAATTCTTTCTTGTAGTTATGACAATAGGGATGTGTAATGTTGACTCTTTTTTTTTCGAATCGAAATCATCACAATCAATTTCAATTTCAATTTAAAATCCTTCATCCCTATACAATGAACAAATTTCAATAACATTATAGCTCCATAGTAGTACCTAATATAAATCTTTACCTGAATGTTAAAGAATAGAGATAATTGATTATGAATCGTTTAAACTTGTTGGAATAATTTATTAGAAAAATAAAATAAAAAATATACATGTCGAAGTGATACGACAAGTGTAGATCATTCTACATTTCGTCTATGTTTGACTTTAACCACGTTACTGTTGAGATAATAATAGTTAATTCTTGTTCTTTATTGATAATCTTGAAATTGTTAAATGCTACTTTTCAATTTTTCTTGTTCATTATTTATTTTATCCAACTTCTGGACTCAACTCGTATTATCGTTGATTTGTAACTTTGCAACTATTTATTACATGATCGTTAGTTTTCAAATATATTTAGCTGTGACTTAAAAATTGATTGCATCAGTTATTGCAAAAAAATAATGAATCATTGTTAACTTTTTTTTTCATATTCACAAGGTAAGATTACAAAAATTTTTCAAATATTTGTTGCGAATAGATGAATACAACATATAGATGGCCTACGGGATCAGAAATTCTTTTCAATATAAATAAGATGTCGCTGTTAAATTATTTATTTCCCATTGCTTCATGATGGTTCTATATATTGTTGTTGAATGAATGAATATATATTATGACAAAATTCGACTGTCGATCGTAGATTTTCAAATCATTTATTCAATTTTTATTTGAAACAATATTTTAGATATGCTCAATATATTTAGTATCAAACAATCGCGCTCTGGTGATGGAGCACCAAGCGATACTGGTATGAAAAAAACATCAGCTGCTCTACTACGTGTTACCAAAGGTTATTTTTGTTATGATGTTTCTTGAAAAAAAAAGAAGTATTTATTTCATTGCTTTTAGATCTAAGTGAATTAGGTACGTTACCACCAACATGTCAAGTAACATATCCGAATAAAGATGATCTTCTCCATTTTACACTTACAATCACACCTGATGATGTATAAATTTCATTAAAAGAATTAAAAAAAAACAATGTTTTTAAAAATTATTTTCTATAATTTAGGGATTTTATAAAGGTGGTCGATTTATATTTTCATTTACAATTGAATCCGAATATCCTCATACACCACCTAAAGTAAAATGTACACAAAAAATTTATCATCCAAATATTGATCTTGAAGGAAATGTTTGTTTAAATATTCTTCGGTAAATGAATATTATTTTAAGTTCTTTTTTTTTCGTGTAAATTTTATTTAGTTATTTCTTTCTAGAGAAGATTGGAAACCTGTATTAACAATTTTATCCGTGATTCTTGGCATGGGTTTTCTTTTTTCAGTAAGATTTAAAAAGAAAATTATTTAGTCAATGATTATTATTATTTATTAGGAACCAAATCCTGATGATCCATTAAATAAAGAAGCAGCTGAAGTTTTAAAAACAAATGTAAACACATTTCGATCAAATATTTCAAAAACAATGGCAGGTGGAACATTGAATGGAGTTCAATTTGATCGTGTACTCATTCGATAATTTTATTCAATATATTAATTAGACAATAAAACCAAGACATTTATTTATTGGAGAAATTTTCCTTTTGTTTGCTATTGATATTTAAAACAAAAAAAAAAATAAGAAATAAACTAGACTTCTAAATAATTTTTGTTTCTAAATTGAAATTATGACGAGAGAAAAAGAATCATTTGTTGAAAAAATGTTTTTTTTTGATTAATTCAGAAATTCTAAGTATGATGATGAAGCCTATGTTTATTCAAATCCATTTTATGCTTTTATAATTTTTTCCAATATCATCACTTCATAGAATAGTTCTTACATGGTTTTTATTTTATTAGAATAAATATTTCGTCTATTTTCTTCCTTCGTTCTTAGGTACAATTTGATTGCTTACTCTTATACTAATTATTTTAACGAGTAAAATCTCGTCTAATGATAGCATGGACTTTGAAATAAGTCTTATCTTATCAGATAAATCCTATTGAGACTAAAGAACGTACAAAATGATTCATATTCATTAGTGTTTCGTCTTGAGTTACGATTATTTTTAATGAATTTTTCAACAAAATACCATCGATTCTTCCCTATCAGATTCAAAAAGAACGTCCAAGCTCAAGGTATGCACAAATAAAGTATTTCATAAGACTAAATTTTATTTTGAAAGTACCAGTGTTTGCTTCTTTTCACATAGCAGAATGTTCAAATTTGGTATTTCAGGATCCGAGATACTAGAAAATCAGTTTTGAAGGTAATCTAAGGAGAGTTGTACGACATTTTGTTGAATAACTCATTAAAATAGTGGTAACTCAAGAACAAATTTTAATGGACATGAGTTCTGTTAGACTTTTCTAGTCTCATAGGACCTACATGATGAGAAAAGATTCGTTTTAAAAGTGATTCATCTCTTTGCGAGGCTTCCTCGCAAGTTATAAGTTATCTAAACCTTTATATCATCTACAAATTTTGTTCGTTAAATAACATGAAACCATCAACGAATGTAATAAGACTGGTTTGAAACTGAATTCCTATTTCCATTTTGCTGAGCAATTTTACACATTACTTAATACTATGGCATCATAGAAGGTCTCGAACAAGAGACAACTGTGAATGAGGATGATTTGCTTTTCGCTTCACGAACACTTAACTATTTACTCACATCAACATCCATCGGCTAGAAAGTTAAAATATAATCAATTTGATAGTTTATTAATTGTAATTACTTTTCAGAACTTGACTAAAATTTGTCCCTTAAAAGAAAATCGATGTAACTAATGTTCAGTTAAATCGTTTCTTCTTTTCTTATATATCGGAAGAATCGAATTCAAAAATGCCTAATACAATCGATTAAGATTCATTTCCTCGAATGAATTAATGGTGAAAGTAACATTGTTCATTAAAATCACGATGGTCATTAAATGAATAGTTTAAGAATATTTTTTCTGGAATTTATTCATTTATCTTTCTTAGATTAGAGTTATTTAAATCAATTTTAATTAAACTTGATGCATTTTCAAGCGTTTAAGTTCTCTAATCGTTATACAAGCTGATTTGAAGATGACGATATTATCTTTTATCATGATGAGACAATGATTTCTTTCAATTGATGAACCTTTTCAGCAGAGGACGAAATGTACCACTAAAATGGAATGTTTTCCTTTACGAAGAAAAGCCCTTGAAATATTTTCCTCACTGTCAAAAATAAAGGAAATCGCTTTATTTTATTTTGAACATATATATATATATGTAAATAGACCAAGAAAGAAACAAAACTATTATACACGAAAAACTTTATATAAAAGACAATTTCAGTTTCATTACTCATCGAATAATTGTATTAGTCTTAAAATTTGTTCATTTCGGAAACCTTTCAGCACAACGGAATCCGGATATAAGCATATAGAAAGAGACATGTATTAAATGTTAACAGAAACAAAAAAGAAACAGTTACAC